GGGTAACATAATTAGAGGTCTGTTGTTGACTTATTTTCTATTTCGCACAACTGTACGGAATTCTTCTAAGTCTATTCTTGCGTGAAGAGTTCCTTAAACAACGTTTTACAATCCCGTTTCTTTATAAACGCCGTCATGGAGATTTAGGAGGAATGTACCCCAAACGACATCTGGGTTGATTCAGATTTGTTTTACTTCTGGTTGATCAAAGACTTGCTTATATAAGCAGTACCAGCAAAAAAGTTTTGCATTATCTAAAATCTCAGTCTGGGACATCCCCTTTGGCTGAAAACCTTCTAAATAATTTGAAAAAGTTTCAGCAACAGTCAGGGGTACTTCTAGTTTTAGCTCTGTTGTAGCAAAAGTAAAACAAACAGATGTACACCTTGTGGGAATTTTGTAAACTGTTTTGGTTAAAATTATTGGTCCATTAAATCTACCCCTGTCCCTCAAATGGAGGATATGACAAACTCTTTCAGGGGGATTGGGGGGGACCTGGATACTGACATACTCGCTACGTGTGACACAAGTAATACGTCCTTTTTTTGTTTTTTCACACTTTTGCCCTTGAGGTTTTTCCCCGTAGGATTTCGAAAATTTGACAAAAGGTGCCTACCCCCCCATGTAACACGTTACGTGGGCGTTTTGCACAATCATTTTTTTGTTACCCAATGATTTTTGGGGGTCAATATTGGAGTAGGGCTTTTTAGGTAGTAAGAATTAAAATTTCTTCCTCGACATCTTAAAATTTTTTTCTGGTCGAGAAAAAGCCCCTAAAGAATTAACTGACTGTTTTTTTGGGGATTTATCTTGTGTTTTAAAATTTTGTTCGTAAAAAACTTTCTTTCTGTATTAGTTTCACCTTTTTTAATGGGTTCAAGACATTCATAATCAGGTTTTTCTTTTAAGATTTAAAGCAAGGCTGAAACTCTTAAGATTTTACCCAAAGATATATTTAGACCATAAATGACTATTCTGTTGTGTCTGCTGCAGTATTTTCCCAAACTTTTTCGCTGTTTTTCAAGCAGATGTTTTTCTGGCAAAATGTGGCTTTTGCTGAGCCCAGTTATTTTCTTCAGGAGCCAGTTCGGCCCCGGGGAAACCCATAATTTATTATCCAAAAATTTCTTGATGGGGGACCCCACGTGAAAAACATGTCAGTGGATTCTCTTGGGTAGAGACGGAAGAAAGAGTAACTCTCGCATCCTCTTATTTCTGCTACTTGTTCTTACAAACCAACTTACTTTTATTTTTTCTTAACCCGGGAGAATGCTTCATTATCACCCGATCCCCCCCCGGTTTTCTAAATATGAGATGATCAAGTACTTTGTTGAGATAGCAGCTAATTTTGTCCCTACATGATGCTGTCATTTCCCAAAATTGGGGTACTGTTCGACTCAAGGGTCTCCCCGGCCTTTGAAGTAATTAGGTATTTCCCTTCAGCATTATCATTTTTGCACAGCGCCATAACTCGGGTTTGGGAGCATCACAGAACCTAAAAAGTGAAATTTTTTCCCCTGACCTTTTGTCGGGGAAATTTTAATTTGATAATTTGTTTAAACCCCTTGGATTTTTCATCCCTGTTGACTCATTTCAGAGGAAGTTTCACCCATCCAATTTTGATTTCCCATGCATCTTGATAAGCTTTTTACCTTTATGGTAATTGGTGAGACGAGTCCTAAGGGGAAAACAAAACATTGTATACCTCTGACAGTAAACTCGTTTAGTGAGTGTACTGCATGATTTTTGTTTACCCTTTTTGAGAAAAAAGTATTTTCCGTGTGTTCCAAATTTAAAGTCCCAGCATTTTGTTGCAATCAGGAATTTCATTTTCAGGGAAATCTTTTTTGATAATTCCCCTTTAAATTGCTTTGAATTTGTTTTCCCACATCCTTAGGGGATATTTGCTTCTTTTCATCCCCTTGTTAGCTTCTCTGTAAAAGGATTTCAAATCCCCCTCTTTATTCACAGTACCTTGAAGATTGTCCACATAGAAACTTTTTTTTTAAGATCTTTGAAGGGATTTCGATTTCTTAAAATGTGTATTTAGGTAGTTCAGTAAGAATGGAGGGGGATGTTGCCCCCAATAATACTGTTTAAAACGATAAGTTTTCACAGGATTTGAGGACAGGGGATTTTCGGCCCACAAAATCGAGTAAAATCTCTATCTTTTTCTTGTGCCCTCTCTTAAAAAAGTTTTGGGAAAAATATCGCGGGTAGGCATATGGGTTTTTCGAAATTTCTAAACACGTCTCCAACTTCTCAGTTAGTGAGGGTCCCGGTCATCAGACGTCATTAAGACTTTCTACATCTTTATTTGCACGTGCGCTGCAATTATATACAAAAGTTGGGGGGTTGGTTTTCAGAAACTTTTCTGACTCCATGGTGCGGGAGATAATGAGCTTCTGTCTTCAACTTATTCGACTATTTCCTCTATGAATTTTTTGTCCAATGTTCTTGTATGATATTATCATAGACATCAGTAGCTTGGATTCTTCCTGAGCTCATGTTTTGTGCTTTTCTTCCGAAAGCCTGCGATAAGTAGGGGAATGTGGTGGATTTAATTTCCATGGGAACCTAACCCAATATGTCCATCTTTTTATTGACAGTTTCCCAAAATTGGTTATAAGTCCGAGACTCTTGTGGGCTTGGTTTATTTACCAAAAACCCATCGCTCAAATCCCCCAACTTATCATTGGTTCATTCATTTTTTCCAGTAATGATAATTTTGGTGGTCATGATCAGCGGTTTCTCGAACTAGTACATTTTTTTCCACTGAATCAAAATTTGGGTTCTTTCCCTTTGAAGGGGAAAAAGGGGCCACATACATGTGGCCCCCTGCTGTTTTCGAAGTGAAAAATCAGTTTATTACTAGATTTTTCACAAAAAAGTGATAAAATCACTTCCCAAAGATTAAATCAATTGGACTAATTTTGTCCGTTGTATGTAGGACAGGCCCAATTGACCTTAGTGCTTTCAGTGCTGCAACTGTTTCTTTTAAACCTGGCGCACAGATTAGCAAATCACTATACCACAGCTTTACTGTCTTTTTCCTGTTTCCTAGACCAAAGTGATTTTGGGGTAGTCATTGTCTGTTTTACCAGAATTTTTGGAAAAAAACCCGTATATCTAACTTATTTTGGCATAGGGTTTTTTTATTAGTTTCTGCAACCTGTTCTTTTATGAAGGACCTTTGTGACCTTGATCAAAAAGTTTAGCACTTTGGGGTTTTGTGTAATTTATTAGATAACTCAACTCGAGCTATCGGGAGGCAGTTGCTTAAACTTACCTCACATTTTAAAGCGTTGCTTGTTGGGCTTCCGATTTGTGGAAGTTGCTGCGTTCAGCAAAAGTATTTGGGGATAAAGCTGTTGATGCTTTCCCTTGCATTTTTAAAAAACTTCTTTTGAGCATTTTCCTCCCCTTTTGTTTACCCAAACACTTGAGATCTTTTCAGTTTAAAATTTTTTTACGTGCCTCCAGATGTGTATTTAATACAATACTGGGCCCAATTGTTCCATCACAAAGTACCATTTTGGAGTAGTTTATGTGTGACAGTTTGTTTTCTGTCTGTTGTATTACAGCTTGATAAATGCCTATATGGGATTTCCCATTATGTGGTTTTGTGAGTAGGGATACTCTTTTTATCTGATTGAAGGTTTTTTATCCCTGGATTTGTGGGTTCTTCATCTTGTCCGTTGCTTCGCATGAAACTTTTTTGTAAAAACCTTGCTAATTTCTTTACAAGTGAAATAGCTTTTTTGAAAATAAAATTTAATGTTCATAGTTTTTGGGCAGCTTTTCCTTACAATACCACTGATAAACCAATACATTGTCTTAGGTCATATTTAGCACCTAGAGATCTGAGACTATTTTCTAATGTGATTCTAAATGCCTGTAAATCTGAAAACAATGTTTTGGGGGGCTTTTAGCTTGATATTAAGATGCGTCTAACTTACCTTGTCAGCATCGAAGTAATTGTCTGCTAAGACACTAAGGCTATTTGATAATTTTCCTTTAACACCGGAAATGACTTTAAACAGTTCATAGGGTTCTCCCCCCACAAAACTTTTTGGTAATTTAAACTTGGGAAATTTATCTATTCAGTTCGTGAATTTACTATGGGTTGAAACCCCTAAAAGAATTCTTCATAATTATGACCTTGGAAAATAGGGAATGAAGTAGGAAGCTTGGTAAGGGACACTTGTTGTTGTTACAGGTGTACAGGTGTTTGACCACTGTTCAGTAGGTTTTCTTGACAGGTTTTTCGGCAGATAGCCGTCTCCCCGCCACCTTTAAATTTTTGATCACTAAAAGTACAAAACATTTTATTTCATCCTCAGATGGGTCTGATTCAAGAAATTTTTTTTTATAATGTGTTAGTCTGAATTTAAATTTTTTTCATACGTTTTGTAAAAAATCCAAATTGACCTCAAGTCATCAAATCTATTTGTATTTGAGTTAACCTATAAAACTGAAAATTTGATTTTTTAATTGTGTAAACTTTTGTCTGTAAAGCTGAAAGGTTTTTTAAAAAAGCCATTTTAATGGATACGAAAATTCTGCACCAAATTTGGGGTGTTTTTAAAAAAAAAACCCGTATGTATAGACAGGAGTTTTTGTTTTGCTTTAAAACAGCAATACGAGTCAGACATACTGACCCCCAAGCTTAACCCCAGGGTCAATGACCATGAAGGGGCGCGTCTGTGGCTGGGGTTTAGGCTTGTTGCTGTTCAGCCTGACCATGATATTAAAAGTAAATACGATGTTTTAAATTCTTCATTACACAAAAAATTCACTTAAACCCGAATCCAGTGAATATTACTTACCATATATAAAAATTTACTTTAATAATATTTTAAAGCTTACCTTTATATATAAGTTCCTTTAATTAAACAGGGGAGTCTATAAGAAACAAACTTTTTCACAACTTGTCTCTTTTTCTGTTATAAACATTATAAAAAAAAGTGTATATATATACACTCAGACAAACAACTCACTTGGGGTTTCTGTTGTATTAATCACGATTTCGTGATTGGGGCAGTTGATGGAGGGTGGATACATCCCCCGGCTTCTTGTTGGGGGTACCCAGCCCTTTTCGTTGGTGAACGGGGTGAGCGCCGTTTTCTTTTGGCTGCCCATTCTCTGTGTTGGCGGAGGGACTCATTTTTACTGATTTATATTGTAAAACAAGTTTTTACCTTTTTTCGAAGGGGCCTGGGTCATTTTATTTGTACACTTGTAAACATATCTGGACCCCAGTTGGGTTTTTTTGGTTTGAGCACGACCAAAACCTGTTGGGAATTTTTTCCCTTTCCTGGTGTTTATTAGCTTAAAATAATGAACACTTAGCTGATAAAGACAGCAATCGTTACACAGCCCCCCTGCAGACGAGGTCAATGTGTCGAAACCATCACAACAGTGGGGGGGGCAAGAGATACAAATTTTTTTAAATATAAATTACCCTAGGGGGGTTATGCAGCATATTTTTCGATGATGGCTGACGAAATACTTTTTGTTTTGGGCCAAAAGTCCACACCCTTTTGCCGATTAAGGTTTTATTAAATCCTTGTGACTCAAAAAATTTCGCAAACCCCCATCTACAAGAAATTCTAACAACTTGCTCTTTGTAAATCATGGTGTCTCACACCTTCGAAGATATCGGTGACTTGAAGAACTAAGTGTCCCGGATGTCCACGTCTTCATTGTCTAGGAAACGCACATGGGACATATGTTCCCCCAAGATTTGTCTTTTTGTTTACAATGTATCACAAGAGGCTGATCACACCCCTTTTTTTAGTTTATCGTGTTTTGTGAGACACTTTGCCCACTAACCACAGTCAGTGTTCTTTGTTGGTTATCCTGGCGTCATGTCACTGTATAGAGTCAAAAAGTCTGCCCGACGCTACAGCCTCCATCCCGTTTCCCGCCCCCAACAAAAAAAAAAACGTGACCTGTACTTGCCTCCTTCACCTCCTCGATGAGCAAAGCAAATGTTTGTTTCTTGCTGTCTTAACTTGACAACAATGTACACTAGTTTTTTCTATGGGAAAAAAGGGGGCAGGGGTTTTTCCTTAAATTGTCCTGCTAATAAGGAGTACTGTCTCTTTAAAAAAAACACGTTGCAAAAAACCGCTGCAAGGAGCAGAGGTCATTTGACTAGTGCATAGCATCTTGATCAATTATCACTCGCATAAAAGCGCTCGCCCCCCGGTGGCCCCCCAGGGCTAGAGGGGTGAAGGGGGGTGAAGGGGGGTGTACCCCCCCCCCTGGGGAAAAAAATTTTTTTCCACACCCTTCTCGTTGCCATACTTCTTACCCCTTTTCAGCAAAACCCCCCATTTTTTCCCTATTGTTGACCTGCCCCCCCTGTACCCCCCTATCGACTCTGAACCTCCAACCATGGGTAGTCATTGCCCCCTGTCTTTGATTCTGCCCACGCAAAAAGAACATGGGTCTATGCCCCATAAAAACCTCTTCCACCCCCACCTTTACCCGCACCGCTTGGGAAACCCCTTTTCCTGCACCCCACCACCCCCCTTAATTGCCAGATACATCCCTTGGGTAAGTGCCCCCCACGCCCCCCCCGCATAAACAACCCCCTAACCCCCTCCAAATAGTTTGGGAACCCATATTTTAAAGAATTTATCGTTTTCCCCCCCTTTACGAATATTGCTTTTAAACCGTTTTTTTAGCCAACCTCCACCACATCACCAAATCCCTACCCCCTTTTCCCCTGCACGTAACCCCTTCCACAGCATTGCAAATCCCTCTATCCCCCCCTCATCACCTAACACACTTGTTTTAAATTCCAAAAACCCCCCAGTATACCCCTAGTGATCCCATGCCACCTTGCTACTACCCCCCGTGATCCAATAAGCTACTTTTATTGTACAGAAAAAAAGTCACCAAACCCCTTTAGTATATACAGCCATCCAATC